TTCTCAGTTTAGATAATAAAATGTAATTGTTACTAATCATAAGTATTTTGAGCTATTTTAAATAAAAATGTACTTTTGTATAGTCAAACTGCACTTTTAGATGTCTTGAATATAATTAGTTATTGTTACACGAAACCGATTTTATTTTAAGACGGCTTGCCGTAGCTTCCTACTTTACCTTCAGAGATGGCGCCGAGCCCACTGCGTCAGACGTAAACGTCCCACGTCATACGCAGTGAGGTTGGTTCCAAAGCTCCATTGGTTGAATTACGTTTGTCTCGTTATCCTTTAAACCCATTGGTTGATTGGCTTCTGTAACGTTCTGCCCGCCGAGAATTGAATCAGTCTTTCACAGACACACTTTGAGTGAACTTGCTGAGCTCAGAGTTTCCAAACAGCCTTCCGAACGCCAGGAGTATTGCAACCGAACAGCTTTCCAGCACATTCTGTTGATTCACCGAGCGCAGGAAGCTATTTCCGTCGAGGTGAGTTTTTTATAATATGTTTTATAAAGACGTTGTGACTTGGACTTTGTTAAAATACAGCTTTTTATTATGGTTAAAATATAAGCTACTACACACTCATATAGCCTTAGTCTAGCTATTCTCATGTCTGCTGCTGATGTAAATAAGCCTGGAATAGTTCTTAAACGTCACGTTACGACCTGTATTGAAAGTAAGTCTCGTGCAAAATTCTGTTATCTTGTGAAAATCTGTTCCACCTGTTTCGGCGCGCATTTCAGCTAGAGAGGCGGTGTTCTGTCAGATTAGCATACGTTGTCAGTTATACGGTTAGCTCAGACATGTATACGCAGTCATTACTATATGATTTTATATAATCAGCAACATTTACGTAGATCATCATACACTTTATTAACAGCTGTATGTTATCTTGACTTAGCGGTTAAGTAGGTTAATGAGTTTTACACGGGCCTGTTATGTAATTGACTGCAGCTGCAGCCGGACCTGCTTTAAATACACTAAAACCACAACAACATATGTATATGTATCTAGTTATCATATTATATAATACTATAAACAATTTAATGACTTATTTTCGTCATAACTTATTGTGTATACTGAACTTACGACAACTCAACTTACGTCGGACTTAATGCGCATGCGCGGGCATGCTATTAACTGCATGTATGCTATATTGACAGTGTAGGGCTATCTTATAAAACGGCGGATCTGTTCACTTTCACGGCTCTGGTCGATTTATCGGTAAAACGGTGTTCTGTCGATAGCCATACGCTGTCAGAATAGCATACATGCAGTTAGTACCATGTCCGCACACGTAAAAAGTCCGACCATCAGTGGAGTTGTCAGTTCAGCATACGCAACAAGTTATGACAAAAATAAGTCATAAAATTTTTAATATTATCATAGAATATGATAACTAAATAAATATACATGCATTGTCGTGGTTTCAAAGTGTATTTAAAGCAGGTCTTGTTGCAGGTGCAGTCAATTACAACACATGCTGTGTAAAACTCATTAACCCCTAAGTCAGGATGCCATACAACTGTTAATAACCAAGTGTATGATGATCTACGTCATGATTCTAT